GGTTTTAATTTCACATTTCGGCTTTTTCTTTCTTTTCTTTTTTTTTTTTCTTTTTTGATTTTTTTTCATGTTTTAAATCATTTCAAATATCAGTATTCAACGTTTTATGTTTAATATATCAAAACATTATTTATGCATTTGTAACTGCAGGTTAAATGCATTCATGTCTTGCATTAAACAGCGTGTAAACACATCTAAACGCCACTTCAGATGCAGCTTCTGTGTTGATTTCATTTGCTCGGTAACAGCCCAAATGTCTTATTATTCTAATTCAAAATATGGCTTTATAAAATGTAAAAATGCCCATAAAATGCAAAAATCAGTTTAAACTTATTGGAAAAGATTCATTTCTATCAGTATGAACTGACCACCACACAGAATATTAAAAACATTAGGAGTCAGCTGTCTTCTGCAGTCCTTAAGGTACCAGCACAATAACACACTCAGCAAAATATCGTCTAATTATCGATAAAATATCATATCACACCCCTAGTGAAGATACACAATTACATCCCACATGCACAAAAAGTAGTGGGTTCACTCCGGTTTAACAAAGTGTAAACATACCCAGCAGCCAAACCATCTCAACCTCAGCACGTACTCAAGAAGCACGTGACAGCAAAGCTGCAGCTGGAGAGTCTTTAACAACAAACCCAGCCTCTGCCCTGACCTCACCCTAAACCCCTGCAGCTGTTCGGCCAGGACAGTCCATTAAATAAATAAACATATCAACCTGTGAAGGCAGATCTAGAATCAACCGCAGCTTCTGCTGCGGTTGATTCGGCTCTCCGAGCATCAGCTAACGGCTAACCTGCACAAACACGGACCTTGATGTCAACCTGAACAACACAGCCACAGCGCAAGTCAGACCTAACCTGCTGTTATATGTGACTCTGCGTCCGAATGGGCGAGACTGTCTGTTATTATCCTGTTATTGGTCAGATAACCGAGCTCTCTGGCTAGGACTAGCATCTGTCACGCATGCTAAGCCGAGTATTTGAGAACTAACGTACTGTAAATGCTGGTTCGGCTTCTTCGTCGTGTTGTAAAGAGACTCGGCACTCACCAGCGTTAAAGCGGCTCTCGTTGGCAGTATTTTCCGTCTGCTGACCGCCCTCACCGTCGCCCGTGCTATAGAGGCTGACATGTTGGAGCTACTTAAGTACTTCGGGTTTGGATGTAAACACCAGCGGTAATGCGCGGAACGCCCGCCTCTTCGGACGCACAGGATTGGCTGGCTATTTGAGTGACAGCTCTTAAAGCCAATGAGTGATCGCTACTGTAGGCTTGTGATAATCTGAGCGTATTACGCAACTAAGGGCGTCTAGTTTGCTGAATGATTATAAAGATAACTATAGAAATGCGCGTAAACCAATTCATTGAAATTGTAGCATGTCCACTAATCGTTTAAATCGATCAATTCTTGTCGAGGTCCTTGGTTTTAGGCCTAGAAAACAAAATTTGCAGCTGAAAATGTAGTTATTGTATTTTCATAGTACAAAATCACCAGGCATTTCTCTCTCATCCTACTTACAAACACGTGCTTGTAGACTTTCAGTGCTATGAAATATTATTCACAAGAATTACGTGTACTAAGAGTATAATTATTGAGAAGTTTGGAGTGTTTGCAATAAATGGGCATGTTGACACTGCATGGGCCTTTATTTAGACAGTATCAATTGGGGATATAATTTAACTTGACCATTTAAAGTGAACAACAGAAATGTTTACAGAAATGCAGTTGTTTTCTGTGGGAAGAGACCATCTTTTAAGTTTGTTGGCACTGATCACTTTGGCAGAATTAACTTTATAGCTTGATGACTTTGATGTAAATTTCTTCTCCTCCGTGATATCAGAAGGGTTTCTTGCACACGTACAGCTTGCTTCAAGTCCTTTACAATATTGGGTTACACTTTACTTGAAGGGGTGTGCATAAGACTGACATGACACCTTCATAATCATGGCATGACACGTGTCATGTATATGAAGGGTTTTTATGCATGTTTATGACAACTGTCATTAAGTGTCATTCACTCAGTTATGTCATTTTTAATGCAAATATGACATTATGTGACCTACCCCTACCCTTGCCCATAACAAAGACATCTCAAACAATGTCATCTTTGCATTAAAAATGACATAACTGAGTGAATGACACTTAATGACAGTTGTCATAAACATGCATAAAAACCCTTCATATACATGACACGTGTCATGCCATGATTATGAAGGTGTCATGTCAGTCTTATGCACACCCCTTCAAGTAAAGTGTTACCCAATATTGTAACTGGATTGCGATTTTAAGTTTTTGGTTTGAGCCAATCTTTAGTGGATTTGCACCTTTTGGTTCATTATATCATTCAGAAAGCTCCCATTTAGAGCAGATTGACAGCTGTTGCCTGTAGGTAGATCCCTTGCAATCTGCTTTTGAGGGTGGATTTGGTGGGACGTCCCATACTGAAGAGATTGCAGTGGGACAGACTAACGCTTCAATACAAGAACTGGGCATTTAGGTTTATTTAAGCGGTCCCAATCCTGAAGTATAATACTATTATCTGATAACACTGCTCAAATGCCAATCTAATATCTGTGTGTATGGGCTGCACTGACTTTTCTCATAAATGTCTTCTCTCACCATTAAAACGAACTGCAGAAATTGACACACAGGGATGTAAGAAAATGTCGATTCATTGCACGAACACAAAACGCAGAGACCTCACTATGACAAAAATCATTTATTGTCAAAAAAAAAAAAAAAAAAAAAAGGACCAGAGTTAAATTACAAA